TGAGAGGCGTTATTTGAGGAAATACTCACCGTGCCAGAAACATCCATGGACTTCGTAAGCAGTATTGGTCTCATCGTGATGTCCGTCCAGCAAATAGCGGCCAACACGATTTTCACCAGCATTGCGAGCATGCTGAATGTAAATGCCATTCTTTTCAGCAGTATAGGTTAACCATTTCAGGGCCAAATTGGATTGCTTGTTTTCCGGGCAGTAACCGTGTGGAGGAATGATGGCAATGGTGTCTTCTTGAAGGAAATTCGATCTAAATACGAGATTACACGCTGACGCAATGGTGATTTCTCAAAAGGATCTATATCGGTGACGTGACGAAACAGTTCGCGAAACTCGAGACAACAGCGACGGAGAATATCAACATCGGAACGGCAGTAACTTAGGATTTCTTGCTGGACATTGAAAACATAGTTCTCTTGTTTGAGAGGTTGATACCATTCGAGGAATTTCTTCCGACCGTCGGATCTGGAAGTTCGCGGACATACTGTTCGTTCTGTTTCTTGTCAAATCGGTCAAACCAAATGTTTTGGTATTGTTACGGTCACCCTGTTATTCTTGACTCTTGAAATACCGATTACATTTGTCACAATGAATCCAGGACACGATAAGACATTCCATAAAACGACAGCATTTACACATACCAGGACACAGATGATCTGTCTCATTACTGTAGGCTTTCTTACAGGTGTGACAGTACTTACTCCGAGCCAAAAAACCGGGCATACTCGTAAGGTAATTCCTTTCTCTTGATCGGGACCGATGTAAATGAGGGCGTTTTGATGCTCTTTGACTTTGGAAACGATGTTGATTTGGTACTCGGACAGATCCGAGGGGAACGTTCGCTTTTTCATGTAATTCTTGAGCCATACGTGTTTGCATTGGTCTACGATAATCTCATATAAGACGATTACGACTATCGTTTTCAATTTTAGCTCTGGCGACGACAAGGGCTCTGGCTAGACACAGTTCAATCGATCCCTTTCTCTAAATGTTTCTCTAAATTGATTTCACTTCGCTTCGTGCGAAGGTAAGGACCTCCATGGGGCATTTCCACATGAATCAAATTGACGTTGACATCATCATTCAATCAAAATTCGTGATTGGATTGGATTGGCTTTTACTGCTAAGACACGTTCGGTTGTAAGTTGTTGACGTTGCATGAAAGAAAGATCGATGAACTTGGTCGTGCATGGATACACCCCGCGTATTCTCGTCCAGCAAAATAATAATATATAACAACAGCTCAGAAAGTTAATAATGTTTCATAAACGTTACGTGTTTTTAAAATATCAACTCTAAAAGCTAATGATAGTGTTTCATAAACGTCAAGTGTACGCGTTCTCCGATGTCTTATTAAGCCACTCGACTATGAAAACGTTTTCCCACGCACATCACACTCGAAAGGTTTCTCGCCGGTGTGTATTCTAAGATGTTTTGCATGGCTAGACTTATATCCGAGAACCTTTTCCCACAAACATCACACCCATAAGGTTTCTCACCTGTATGTATTCTACGATGCTTAGTACGATTACCGCCACTCCGCTATGCCTGCAGAAATTTTCTCTCGTTTCTCAAATGCACAGTGCTGTTCCGCTTCATTAAAGGTATGTTCCCTTTCCAAAGATGATAACTCTCTTGGCGTTTGACAACTATTAATCTTCTCCAACACACTCATGTCTAAACAATATCGTAAAATATATAACACTCAATTTAAGGTAATGGTACTTATACTACTTATACACCTCTCCGTGCGCACATATCTTCTCCCCTTCACTGAATAGTGAATACTAAATTAGCCATTCCGAAGTTGATGAGTGGACTGGGGACGAGTGTTAAAAAGTGCTCAAATTAAGAAATGAACCAAATCACTGAAAAGGCCACCTCAAAAATAGTAAGTACACAAAGTTTGAAGACGTTTTGGTTCATTTCTTAATTTGGGCACCAGGAGCAGTTGCGAAAAATACAGTAATCGGCCCTCTGGCTGGAATCCAACCTGCGGCCCTGCGATAGCGGTGCTGTGCTATAATTTTCATCTTCGAATCCCTTCGGCATTGAGGATGCCCAAAATCCTCGTATTTACTCATAAATCGTTTTGACTAGGTTGATGCAAAAATCCTTAAGGCTAGTTTCCATTTGGTCGTTAGTTGTCGGCGTTGTCGCTGGCACGACAAGTGGCCGATGTAATAGAGTGTCAACAAAAAACTCTGCAATCATTAAGACTGATTTGCATATCACACAAAAGACTATTATTATATTAGACTATTTCACATCTACCGCTTGTCGTGCCAGCGACAACTAACGACCAAATGGAAATTAGGCTTTACGTGCATATTGTATTCTTGCCCAACCAACTAATTATTAGCTATGTTTCAGGCTGAGTTATCTGTGACTTGGACAATTGGTTAATTAACATCACATAGCGGAGGATTTGCGGCACTGCAATCTGGCTACGACAGTAAAGTTGTTCAGCCTCGTACCCAAGCGCAAATGACGTACTAAAATTAGCAAGACTACAGTGTTTTTATCAAGCACCCCCGCAAGCTCGCTCATCTTAGCCACAGATCTATATAAAAACACTGTAGTGTTGCTATTTTTAGTACGTTATTTGCGCCTGGGTACGAGCCTGAAAGTTGTTGCAGTTGTCGAATTATTAGTTGTTAAATGTTAGAACCCTTGATGCATGGGATTTGCCTCGCATCTGTTCCACCCGTTTTGCTACTTCTAAATGGGTACTTAACCAATATTCTAAATTTTAGAATGCGGGTAATAACCTACCATGAATTCCAGAGCCTTCGACAGTAAATAATAAATTGAAACGTTGCGAAGGCTCTGGTTCAACGGGGAGATTTTTTTGATTCTGTACTAAAAGCACTAATTTTGTTTTGTGATTGGCGTGGTTTAATCAAAGAATCTCCCCGTTGAACCAGAGGCTTTGCGACGTTTCAATTTATTATTTACTGTCGAAGGCTCTGGAATCCAGGGTAGTAATACCCATGCTAGGTATATACCTGACCTACTTCGACTGAAGACAAAACCCAACACTGGCGGTTGGTGGGGTGGGGTTTTGGGAAACCGCTTTAGTGGTTGGTTAGTGGTTAGGGGTTATGGGTTAGGGTTAGGATTGCTCAGGTATATACCTAGCATGGGTACTACCCGCATTCTAAAATTTAGAATATTGGTTAAAAGTACCCATTTAGAAGTAGCGAAACGGTTGTCTGTTCACAGAATAATTGGCGCTTGGTAATGGGAACATATTGGGACACTTAGGGTTGCATTGGCCCAAACCATAAACATCCCTAACGTAAACAATAAAGATGGCTTCATTTTCAAATTGGTTTGGGGAAGATTTATATTTGCAGTACAGAGAAAGAATATTTTACGAAGAAAGTCCTTATCTTTACTATGCTTACCGCCTGCTATCTGGAATTACCGTTGCAGTTTTGGCAGTAGTGATAAACGTTATTTTGCATTTTCTTTTTAAAGTTTGTCGAAGGATTTTAAATCGCTGGGCACATATAGAACAGGTCCAATTTGGAATGGATGTTGTTTTTGGTGCATATCATATCGTCGCTACTGCACTTGTAGCTTATATTTCCGAACGAAAGATTAGTTTGTTGTGTGAGTCAATGCGAAGTTGAACTATAAGTATTGTATCAATCAAATCAACTGTCAGCACTTGATAATAGAGAATACGGAGAATAACGTTACTGGCAGGGTGCCAAGTTGACGACTTGATGACATAAATAAAAATATATTTAAATCAGTAAATTATAGTTAAATCACTTACAAATTATTTCGTAACTATACCTACAGTGGATGAGACTTGTTTGTAGTAATAATACTTAGTAATAAGTAAATAGGACTTAATATTAGAGAGTACACCAGGAGAAACCTATCTGTGTTTCAAAAAAAGTGTTGACAATCAGACATTGCAGCCTTGAGATTAATTCAATGGGTCATTCCAGAAAAGATCCACCCTGACCCAAAGGAAGAAATGTCTGCCGTCCAATTTCTGATGATAGTATTAAGTGTATTAGGACATCTGAAGGGGGGGGGGGGGTAACTCCCAATTTCCTCTGCGGAAGAGGTCCGGATGTTTTCAGGAATGACCCAATATAAATATTGTAGAGTAACAAATATATTGCATATAATGTAAATTATTTAATGAACGCAAAAAAGCAAATTGATGCTTCGTACTTCATACAAAGTTATATAAAGCTTTATACATTGAGTTTCAGTAGAAAGGTCCTTGAAGCTAAAGTCTCTGAATGTTTACTGCATGTGATGATGTGATGTCTTTGTGCCAGTAACTTGGACATATTTATATCCCCCCCCCCCCGACAAATCAACGTAACACAAGAAGCCACTGTGACAAGTGGTCAGAGGTAAAGTGGAATACTTCATGTAGGAATATTTCCAAGATGGAGATTCAAATTTCGGGATGTGTTTTTTCCTCCCTCTTTCTGGAACTTGCAAACAGCCAAGGGGATATAGTAAGTACTGCTCGTTGTAAAGTTTTCTATAAAGATATTGTTTATTTACACTGCTAATATATCTCTTGTAGGAAGGGTTTTTATTGGGAGAAATCGAAGATCGAACTACGAGTACTGTCAGTGACTCGCAAGATGTCAGTGTTAAACATCATCGTATTTTTGGTGAGCTTGTACATTAAATTAAATAAACTATTTTTGAAATAGTTGTATTCACAAATTAAAGGTTTTTAACCGTAAATTTCATTTGGAAGCAATGGAAAACCTGGGTAAATTTTGAGAAACATGAAATAAATTTTGAGAAACATAAATGACGTCATAGTTTAGAAATTAGAACCGGAAGGATATTAATTGCTATTTAATTTTAGGCCGATGGAATTAAGGTATCAGTTTACCGTCCAACCTCGCAAGCCAGGGTTTTTATCATGCTTTTTACTATTCCTCGCCTCGAGCGTGATAAAAACCCTGGCTTGCGAGGTTGTTTACTGTCACCTAAAATTTCAAAAGTTGATGCGGATTTTTTTCATTCATTATTTTTCACAATTTGAATTTGACCGAAAAAATCCAAGAAAATTTTGACAATTCTTGAGCTTTTTGCTAGCTTTCGAGCTATCAGCTATGTCTTTGACTCTTTCCGAGCTATCAGCTATGTCTTTCGCCATGGCTTCGCTAACTCTATTTCCAGTTTTTGAATACAAGCAGTAAATATGCACTGACATTTGACCGCAGTGTCACTAAAATGTGTTCTTGTTGCATGCAATTGACTCTCAATTCATATGAGAGAAAATAATGGATTGGGGTGTCTGTATTACTCAGCGGCGGATCTAGCCTCATCTTTCAATGGGGTGTTGTGTGACAAAGCCTTACTGCCCACTCTCCTCAGTATAGTCTGCAACACTACTATCCTAACATATAATTACCATTATTTGAGATGACTGAATCTGCATGTTTGCAGTCCTGTTACATTTTACATTATCTTTTGTACATAAAGTTTATATTGGCTTTTTATCACATAATATAGTAAGTAGTTCTGCTAATCGCCATTGGGTCATTCCAGAAAACATCCATACCACCCCCCCCACGGAGGAAATAGGAAGTTAACCCCCCTACCCCCTTTGGATGTCCTAATACATTTACTATTATCAGAAACAATTTTTTCTCCCCTCCCCCTCCGGACGGCAGAAATTTCCTCCGTGGGGGAGTATGGATCTTTTCTGGAATGACCCATTTCGAAAAGCAGAGAATGCATGCTCGGTCAAGCACATTTCTTAGGGTGCCCATTTCTTAGGGCCACACCTCCTGCACCCCCTTGGTATTACTTCAAAGTGGTGTCCGTATGGACATATTTAACTGTAGCATTTTATTTTTCAGCTGTGCAGGAGATTGTTGTTTGTCAAGGACTTTTCAGGTATGAAAGTAAAACCCTTAAAATAAGGTATTTGTGTCAATTTATGGGCCAATTTCCCATTTTTAGACTTTTTCTTTATTACCGGTAATGTATTATTTTATATACAGTTTTTATGATGGTGTTGGACGTATTCATGTGGAGAAACTTGACAGAATTCTTGGAAAGAAAAAACAGGTGATACATACCTCAAGAAAGTTAATTTCAGCAATGCTTTTAACCCACTGAGTGGTAGCACTCTCCCCTTGACAAGTAAAACTTGCCACATAAAGGGTTAAGTCACTCCTCTTCACAATAAAACAACACAATGATTATATTTACATTGGCCTGGAACAAGTAGTTTAATAAGTTTTCTGGCTGTATTTCAGCTAAATCAACAAACCCTCCTCTCTATATTGGCTATCCCACATCTCTAATCACTCTCTCAAATGTGCCTGAAATAAATATGCTTCCCAGGGACTTGCATTATTTGTATTAATTGGGTCATTCCGGAAAACATCCATACCACCCCCACAGAGGAAACTGGAAGTCAACCCCACTGTGAGAGTGCCCCTTTAGATGTCCTAATACAGTACACTAACAGTAGAACCTGCCTTACATCCACCCCATTATTACGGCCACCTCTTTATTACGGCTACTTATTTTTGTCCCCGAAAAATGCCAACTGAAGACAATACATTTTCTTATAAAGATACCCTGTTAAAATGCCCCCCCCCCCTCTCACCCTGTTAATATGGCTAAATGTTTTCGACCCGTCCTTGGCTGTGTTAACAAGGTACCACTGTACTATCATTAGAAACGACTCATTAGAGAAATTCACACTGTTTTTTTCTGCAGGTTGCATTGGGATGGTTTAAATTCCGAAGAAATACAAGACTTTGTGTATCAATGCGAGAGAAAGTTATTCATAGAAATCTACTAGAACAATTTGGGATTAAAGATTCTGAAAGTAGGTGCCAAAGATATTATGTTTCATTTTGAATAACCATGCCAAACAACCAAAAGGTATCTTTAGTTTATTTTAAATTAAGTTGAGCAGTGGAAGACAGTGTAAAACGAGGGGTGCTAACTTACAATAGATTAGGTTTCCAGCTGCCAATTTTCCGTAGTTGCTTTGTATCAAAGTTATTTTTTCAAAATATGTTAATTTGATTTAGAGGGGGTGGTTGCCAGGCTTTTAGCCAGAAGGGCGTCCTGAGATGCTCCTAGAACAAAACGTGGATGCCTTTGGACGCCCAAATTATGGGGGAAAAGGGAAATTATTATCAATGATTCCCTAAGTATATTAACATATCCGAAACGAAATAGCTTCAATTCTCATTATTATTATATATTTGACATTTTGATAAATTTAACGGTGTACCTGGCTGAATGAAAATGTCATAGTTAAAAGTAAAGAAGCAATAGTGGCACAAACTACTAACATGAAGTAACAAAAACTTCAAAGGTTTTCCAGAGGAACGTTTTCTCTAACCCCCACACCCCTCTTTATGGTAGATCTATAGTTATGTCAAAATTGGACGCCCTCTTTTAGGACCCTGGCTAAAAGCCTGGTGGTTGCCCTCCCTCCCAGTGCCCACCTTAAATGAACCCGAGTAACAATAACCAAGGAATTATTACATCATGGATTTATTACCTTGTTTTTGCTTTTTATTTTATTTTATTTATTTTATAGATTTTGTTTTCTCTGTTTTCTCATCACAACATGCTAAGAATTTAGCAACTCACACATTTCGATATTCAGCTTTTTATTGTCCAAAACATTACAACAGGTGGGTAAAGAAGTGGAAAACTACTAGAATTTAATTGTGTTGCATCCGTTCTGGTCAATTACATACTGTATGTCTGTATGTCAGGCTATGCTTTCCTTAGATGAATCTTCTACAATATTCTAATATTTATATATCATTTTCAGAGTGTTTAATGGGGTACCTATACAAATTATTAATCTTGGCAACACTGCACAAACAGAATATAAACAAGACATTGCAGCAACAAGCTCTACATCAAAACAATATCAGAATGTCATTGGTTCATTTAGGTAAGTAAAATGACCCATTCATCTATAAAGTTGTTGAGATTTCACTTTGCAGTTGGTTATTTCCCATTAGGCCAAATACAAAAAAATACTTGGTTAGCGTCACACTCTCACAAATTTTCAGAGGCGGGCGGGCGGATTTTTTTTTTAATTTTTACTCGTTTTTTAATTTTTTAATAGTATTTTTGGAGGGGATGGGGGGCGGTTTTTCCACCATATCGGTGATATTTTTTGTACTGATGTTGCGAAGGCCGCCATTTTGCTTTAAGAACCTTGTATACCCAAGCCTACGCGCTCCTATTGATCAGTATATAGCGCGAAGGTCTGAGCATGAGAAAAATTTCAAATATTAAACTGTTTTAAGCTGTAAAACGAAGAGATTTACATACAAAAAAATTTTAAAAAAATCAGAGGCGGCAGAAAATCGAGAGGCGGGTGGTGACGCTAACCAAGTATTTTTTTTTATTTGGCCTTAAGTTGCATTGCACCCAATTTTACTCTGCCTAACGCCAGATGATTTTACTTGTCAAGGGGGGAGCATGCTGATGCTCAATGTGTTGCTGATGCTCAATGTGTTAATCTGCCCATGCATCCTGTTGACCTTTTGGCATTGTATCTTAGAGCGCCCTACTTTGTTATTTTACTCTGCGCCAGGCGATTTACTCGTCAAGAGGAGAGCACTGGCACTCAATATGTTATTTAAACTACCAGTACCTGTCTGAAAAAGATAAGAAAAACTTATTCAATGAAGGCTTTTCATCATAAAGTTAGTAAGAAGATGCTAAATATTTTTCACATAGTTTAAGGAATCTTACATACACTGGACCCTCACAATTAAGATATATTTTCAGGAATTTCAGACACAAACCACAGCTGCTTATTGCAGAACACTTGTCCAGTGCCCCACATTTAAGATCTCTTTTTCCATGTAGTTCAGACACAAACCACAGCAACTGTCAACTTATGTCTTATTGCAGAGTACTAGTTTCCACACAATTAAACCGCAACAGTTTATGGAAGAATATTACTTACACTAAACCTCCAGATTTGAGATAATTTACTTGTATAATTAACCATAAATGGATTTTCAGGGTGAGCAAGGGCATCTGCAGCAGGTGTCTGGGTCACAGTCCCTAGTGGGGACAGGTTGGGGATAAGGGGCTTTGCCCCGAAAGAAAATGGAAGGTCTTATGTAGTTCAAAATCCTAATTTCAATACTACTGTTATTTTATCCAATAGCATTTAAGTTTATGACTTCTGAGGAGGTGCAAATTTCTCTATGTGGGATGGGAAAATGTTCTCAGCAAAAATTTGTTGGGGGTGCAAGCCCCCCCCCCCCCAGCAAAAGCTGTCTATGAATTGAACTACGTTTAATATTGTTGTTTTTAGTGATGAATTCCTGGATAATGTAGGGCAGTTACAGCAAGTGAAACATGCTCGTTCAATGTATAAAAACATGTTAGGGAAATTGAAGGTAAAGTTGTGAAGTCATCTCGTTTGCTGCCTTGTTCATGAAGAGAGAAATTGATTCTCATCAGCCATATAATGTTCCTGAAACCCTGTACCTCACAGAAAATATGATGTTGTAGGGTTTGAAGGAAGCTGTTCATAAAAGCGAATCACAGCTGATAGGTCTTTCAGATAATATTGAGATTCTTAAACATCAACTGGAGAAGGCAATGCAGGAGAAAAGATTAAAACCAGAAGATACAACATCTGAAGGTAAATATTCATACAAAATACAATTGGAAACAATGTGTATGACCATTATAGTTTTTTTACTATTATGTGTTATTCTCTTTAACATGTCCAGTATCTTAAACAATATTGTCGATTTTCACTTTCCACCAGATGATCTTATCCTGTTGGATGACAAAAGTGAACAAGATCTGATGTCTTTTGAAGATTTGGAGACTGAGGATGAAAGCTCACAAGAAGCAACAAAACATGTGGTTGTTGCAAAACATATTTATACACACACGACACAAGAAACAAACTCTGCAGAAACATCTGTTAATCATACAAGACCAGAGCGAACAAACTATGCAAATGAGGATGGCCACAGGTCTTATGATCATCAAAGAAAATCACCACAATATTAAGATATTAGTATCTGAATGAATATACAAACATGATTTTTTTCGGATAGGTTAATGTTAAATTTCACACACTGAAATGTGAATTAAACCTGGTAAGGGTTTGCAACACACAATACTGTGACATTGCAACACACAATACTGTGACATTGCAACTACAGCTCAGGAACTTCATTGATACAATGAAAAAGTAAAATGAAGTACTCTAGTTGTTACAATTTGTTATGATTAAGGCAATCAAATGCTGCAAATCCACAGCAGGTTTTGGAGGTGAGGAGAACAATGTCTTAGAATAATCTTGGGTCTTGATGAAAGGCCAGATATTTCATTGTGTATGGCATATAACCTTGAAAAAAGAAAGGAAAATTGTATATTCACAAAAAAACCTGCAGATGCTGATCTGAATATAGATTCATGCAGAGGTGCAACTGTTGGGGGGGGGGTTACACCCCCCAGTTTAAAAATGGTATGATACTCAGGCAAATTTTGCCTAGTGTTCGACTGTTTTTTAGGCAAAGAAATTGAAGTCATCTGAGGAAAGGATAGAAAAGTTCTGTCAACAACTCACACTCCCCAAGTATGTACAGTCAAGTTGCAACCCTGGATTGTCAACAGTTGGCCCGGGTAAGGATTAGGATCAGCATTCATGAGCAGCAAGCCACAAATCTATAACTGCAATCTAGGCTATCTAGCTACTATACCTAATGATCTGGCTCGTCGAATTGCCCTTTTTATTTCATTCTGCTTTAATTGACATAAGCCTAGAAAAGATAAAAACTTGTTACATTGCATTATAATAAAATTAACATTACTAACTGTACATATCTAAGCCTTTACCTGTTGCCACCTTGCTGTATATTCTGCCTGTGTGCGGAGATACAAATTGAGACAATAATCTCACATTCTAAAAAAATTTAGAAGTTTAGATTTGGTCAGGGTCTTGCTATTTGTTACCAAAATTGGGTGATTAATAGTTTCTATTCTAAGCATCAATGAATTGACTACAGAATAGTCATTCCTATAGTACCAGATCGAACAGACTGGATATCTTTCAGTGGGTAAATGAGATGGAGATTGCTACCTTGTAGTTAATAGATATGTCTCCATGCTTAGGACATAGCAAACATCCTGTGGGTCTATCTTCAGGATCCATTTTCTAGAAACATATAGATTAGGGTTAGATTTGGGAAAGAGGATTGCATGCAACTTTATTTTTTAAAATATTTTGGAAAAATCATAGATTTTCAAAATCTATGCTCAATATTAAAAATGGCCTTTAAGGCTAGCAGAATCTGAGAATATATAGAGAATAATACATGTGCGGAAATACCAGATTTATTTCTCGTGTTGAACGTGATATCTCACGAGTGAGCACAGCTAGCAAACGAATGAGATATCATGTTCAACACGAGAAATAAATCGGGTATTTCCAAGCACCCATGTATTTTTCTGTTTATTATATAAACAAAATTCAGTGAAAAACAATATAACGTCCGTGGCAATGCGTTTTATAACAAATGATATTTTCACACGTAAAAAATATTGTATTTTTTACGTGTGTTTAAATACGATTTTTCTCAGTGGCCAAAAACTCTATATAACACTTATGTTTATATAATAAAAAACGTTATTTAAAAATTGTTGGATGTGATGTGTGAACAATGTTAGGTCTCGTCTGGGATCAGAAATTTATTTGAAGCTTGGGTCCTCTTTAAAGTATACAGGGGTTGGGGGGGGGACTGCTAATTTTGCATTGCACACAGAACATGTGCCATATACATTGTGATCATATCTTGAAAATTAAGTCGTGTGCACACTATATGTTGGCACTTTGCACACAATTTGGTCTTTCTCACTTAAAAGTTTATTTATGAAGCGGAATGTCCTCTATGACATCCTATGCTGCCTAGCTATGTGTGCAATTTGTCTCGTATCTGACATTTATGTGCACATGTTTTGGTAAGACATAACATTACGTCAGTACCATAGAAATAATAGATATCTATTATTTCTATGGTACACACTTAACAAAGTTGGGGGCAGGGGCAAGTAGGGGTATGAACAGAGGGAACAAACATGTCCACAGGCCTACCTCTAAACGGACATCCAATCTAGACCGTCTCTCTTCTTTTAATCGTCTCTTCTTTTTTACATAATGATATTTTCCACATACTATATATTTTATATATAAAACATTTATAATGGCACAATATTCATATTGAATATGGATCGAACACAAACAACATGAATTAAACTAAAAGACTTGCCTGATGAACTTAATGTAAGGTTACGATAAAGCGGAATTACAAAAGCATTGTGAGAAAACAACTGACTCTGTGATCGCACAAAAAAACACGAGAAAAGATTATGAACAACAACCATGTTGCTTTACATTAAATTTACTAAACCGTGCTTTTACTCTGCCTGTAAAATAACATCAATAGAAAGTAGAATTGGTTAAAGTGCACATAATTTTCCCTCCCATTTCTTGTTTTAAACATATCAAATATCTTAATTTCTTTTAAATATTTTGAAATTATTTAGTATATTTTTAATAGGTGGCCAAATGTCATCGTATAAATATTAAAATTTGCACTGAAAAGTGATGTCTTTTCATATTTCCCGATGAGTGTCATTCTGGTGGATGTTATTTAATACTAAAGTACCACTGTCAGTTGCAAAACTTTTCCCACCTTTCAAGTATTTTGACCACAGTTGACATAAGCATGGCTTCTTCTAGAAGATTTTTTGTTGGAGGCAATTGGAAAATGAACGGAGATAACGCAAGTATTGCAGAGATTGTGAAATTTTTAAACGAAGGAGTGAACGACTCCACAAGCACAGGTGAATTTCTATCATATATTACTGGTTGAAAAAGTTTAGAAAAGTGGTAGTCTCTTTATTATGGCACTGATATGGCCGTCGTTGATTTTATTTTAGAGGTCGTAGTTGCACCACCAGCTCTATACCTGAAACAGGTTGTGACAGATGTTAACAAAAATATAGCTGTGTCAGCACAAAATTGTTATAAAGCAACTAAAGGTGCATTTACTGGAGAGATAAGGTAAGTTCCCGTGCATGTCGAAATAAGCAAGTGAGGTAGCCAGGCGTGAGAACATATTTTTCCACCAGTTACTGCTAAATTTTGTGCTCAAAATTCACTAAATCAACAAAAATTTACCAAATTAATGCACCAGTCAATGTAAATCCCCCCCCCCCCAACCGGGGAGGGGGGCAGGGACAATTTCGCTCTTTTACTACTGCTGCAAGTCAAAATCCCTGCCCCTCCCCGGTTGGGGGGGGGGGGCGGGGGGTTACATTGACTGGTGCATAATTTCCCCTTGATATGTGGTGACTGCATGTAGATATGGTGGTGAAAATATACACACCACCATGAAGACCCTGGGGGCGAGGTTGATCTATTAGAAGATTGATTAGTATTAGGTAATGTTTTCGTCATGTGCAATCACAGCTTCCAACAAGGCAACTGACTAAGTTAGCATAAAAAAAAACGATTGAAAAAACCCACTATTTCATATTCCATGTTTGAAATTAATTGCTGAACATTAGCATCTCTATTATGCCCTTGACACTGGAAACCCTCCCCACTCCAGGGTTTAATCTCCCATCCCCTGGGTCACAAATGATACTCTAAACTTCACTCATCCCCCACCCATGTTTCCCTGGGGAGGGTGGGGGTTTCAGTGCATTACACAAGATACCAACACAAACTTTTACCAAAAAGTTAATGAATTTTAAAAATCTACAAATTTTACCAGAATTTTACTAAAAAAATCTCAAATTACTATTTTTTTCCCAAAATTGACAAAAGTTTTCCATAAGTAAAATATTTTTTTTTTGGGGGGGGGAGTAAAAGCTGTTACCAAGTACATATGCTTGGTTAGGGAAACAATGCAAGCACTCTGGTGCACTAAAACATTTCTGTAAAAAAGTCTGGGGTGATTCTGACCAACTCTGCAGTCTGAGAAAGAGGTAAGCTCCATGTTGTGGTCAATAGGTGGGTTTTGGTCAGGGACACCTGAACAACGTCACGGCAAGGGAAATGGATTTTCATGGTGGGGCACTTTTCAACGGGTTCATAAATTTAGATTTAGCAACGCCCCCCCCCCCAATGATTTTTAAATTCTCAAATATTTCTTTAAAATCAAAAAGAGAGGGCGTCGACCCTTGTCCCCTAGTAGTCTTGTATTTCATGGCCACTAAAATAGAATTAAGAAGTTAATGTAGGTTAATTTTCTTGGTCCTACAAGAGTGAAAAATTGTGAAGATAAGCCCATCTACTGCCTCGTAACTAGTTTACTGAAACCCACCAACATGTGGCGTTTGTTGTTTTAAGTCCAGAAATGATAAAAGATGTTGGTGGGAAATGGGTGATACTAGGGCATTCAGAAAGAAGACATAAATTTGGGGAAAAAGATGAGGTAAAGTTTCTCTTAATTAAACTATTGGATGGATTGACAGCAGGGTCTTAGCTAGGATTTTAGATCTTGGGCGTGTTTCTAATGACCAGGGCGTGCACATGTCAATTACTTTGAATAGCAAAATAATGGCTCTAGTTATGCTCGCCAACAACAATGCCTGTGGTTGTTCTATGCTTTGCAGCCAAATACAAGGCGAGCATACGCGCGCACTGACAATTAAGTTATTTCAACAAAATTAAAACCATTTGAACACCATACAGTTCCCATTATCCATCAAAACATTAAAACATCACGGATCACTTTTGCCAATTCAACAACAACAGTAGATTCTACAAATTTTCTTGTCGTAAATAGGAAGAAATTCTGTCTGTCGTAAGTATAGCACCACCTTATTTTATGAACCTATATACACGGCCTTATATAAATAGTGAAGCCGCGTTCATTTTATCTAGCCGTGTTTTTGCACTTTTGGCCGCGATAACACAGCCAACACGGCCCTCTAGCTAAGACCCTGATTGACAGCCATTATTGTATGTCATGTACAGACTGAGGTACCATGTTCTGTTTCTTAATTCATTCCAGTTAATTGGTGAGAAAGTTGGACATGCGTTGTCAGCAGGCATTGGTGTGATTGCATGTGTGGGAGAATTGTTAAGTGAGAGAGAAAATGGTACTACTTCTGAAGTTGTATATAGACAAACCAAGGCAATTGCAGGTAAATGTCAAGTGTCAGCAGTGGCGGAAATCTTGGTGGGGCGGAAAATTCACCTTCGCGGAAATTTTGACCTAAAAGAGGGCTAAAAACAGTCTTTTCGAGTGCAAATGGGGGGGGGGGTCGGAAATTTGAAAGTTTTGTCGGAAATTTAGGAGTGAATTTCCGCCACTGAGTGTCAGAAACAAGATTTACAGTCAATTCCTCCATTGAACCCTGTCAAATAACCCCCCTCTTGTGGACACTTTATGTTACCCCCCCTTCTTGGCCTCTTGCGGATACTCTGTTAAGTCGTTAACCACTACCAAATGTGGCTGAAATAGAGATTCACAGTATTTATTGTTTTTAGGAAATGTTAGTGACTGGAACAGAGTAGTAATAGCATATGAGCCAGTCTGGGCCATTGGTACAGGCAAGACGGCAACACCCGACCAAGCACAAGAAGTTCATGACCTTATTAGGAAATGGTTGAATGATAATGTATCGTCTGATGTTGCTAATTCAATCAGGATTATCTATGGTGGTAATGTATTTATGTTGTTTGGCCTTCCTCATATTTACTTTCTTGTCAAACTATGTTATCATAAATTACTTATCCATTATGATGTAGTTATGATATGGCAAGTATCACTTCTGGTGAAATGGCGGACTGTGATTGGCTGAGAAGCACTTTCAGCGGCTCATTATTTTCCCGTAATGGACCGCTGTCCATTACGTAAAAACAAACGCATGCATTTTAAAACAAAATTTTTTGTTTTAATAATTTTATTTGTTATTACAGATAAACTACGTGAAGCGTTCCTCTTTTGACTTCATAACTCATTTGGAAATTTCCTCATTAGCTTTGCAAATTTGAAAAACTCTTTGCAAATCCTTTGAGGGAATTTGCAATATTCCTATCGGCTGTTGCAATATTCCAATGCAACGAACTTCATTTTAAATTTTCCTAACTTCCTGTTTTAATCATGTTTCGCTCGCTACTCTGGTTTAAATAAATGATTACAAAGCCCAGTCGAATTGTAATCAAGACCCAACGTTTCGACACTCCAGTCTAGTGTCTTCATCAGGGGTGATCTAAAACTGCGATCGTGGCTTCTTAAATACCCAAGGGATGACGTCACCTGCCAAGAAGATGCATATATTCCTCTGGAAAATAGGCACCGTCATCCCTATTCAACGCATGATGACTCATATTTATATGCCACGCTTCAAAGCATGATGACTCATATTTATATGCCACTGTTCTGAGCGTTATTGGTCGATTATTTTTGGTAGCCAATTGCAACGCCCAGAACAGAACAGGAAGTTAGGAACTTGTAACAGGAAGTTAAGAACTTCTATATAACAGGAACTGAGGAAAATTTAATTGGCCGCTTTTAGCAACATTGCAAATTCCTTCATTTTTTTTTAAATTGCAAAAGTAATGAGGAAAATTGCAATCAATTTAGCAACTCAAAAGAGGAACGCTCCACGTAGTTTACCTGTAGTAAGATATCTGCAAATGGTTTCTGGTGGGAAAGAAGGAATACATTGGTATTTTTTGTTTTCTTCGACCAAATGTGTACCACGCTACTAGCATGCATTTCAAATCACGCATTTCTTGTTTGTTTCAAGTATAAATGCCTATAAATGCCATATAATAAACTTTTTATTAACCTCACTTGCTCGGTTTGTACAGAGAAATATCGGACATTCGGACGTCGGTCTTTTTGTACAGACCTCGCCTCACTGGCTCGCCGCTCGGTCTGTAGAAAAAAGACCTCGATCCAATATTTCTCTGTACAAACCTCGCGTTCGGCTAAAGGGCATATGACTCGAAAACTAACGTTGTTATTTTTTAGTCTAATATCTTCAAAACGAAGCAAGAAAATAAAAATCTATCAAGGATGTTACTCTGCACTCTACAGTTTTCAATAATCTTTCAAATTAGACTAATTTTCAAATTAGACTAATTAAAATAACAACGTCAATTTTCGAGTCATATGCCCTTTAATAAGAAGTTATTATTAACCATGATTATTACAATCCTCTGGTAGGCTCAGTGAATGCAAAGAACTGTCGAGAATTGGCAACGAAACCTGACGTTGATGGATTCTTAGTTGGTGGAGCATCTCTGAAACCAGAGTTCATTGAAATTATAAACGCCAAGTCCTAACGTGGTTTTAGAAGACGTTTATTCCAGCCATAATTGTAGTTTGTGGAATATAAACCCTTCAAATTACTCATTCCCATAATATCATGAACTGAGATGTGAATATTAATTTACATATTAATTAAAGAAATAGAATTTTCATTGTTTTTGTCACATTTTTTTTTATTTGATTCAAGTCCACACCACAATGTTGAAGTGTGGAGAAAGGGGAAGGTCAGGGACGGATATAGCCTAATCTGCAAGAAGGGGTCAGGTTTTCCATGGGGTAATGCACGAGGGAGCCTTACTGCCCATTCTCCTATGCAGTCTGCAACGCTACATCCGAGCATTACCATTATCTGAGATAGCCGAATCTGCATGTTCGCCGTTTTGGTACGTTTTATATTATCTTTTGTTTAAAAAGTTTATATCGGCTTTTTCAGATCACGTATGTGTGACAGACTGGACAGTTGCTGTAGCACAGTACAGTAAATTCGCTCGATAAAGTACAATATACTTTTTGTGTGTGTTCGTGTTATGTACTCAGGTGAATATGCTGTTTGTGATATCACACTGAGTGTGCATGCACACCGGGCAAGCTGAATAGTTTGCCTGACCACGGTGGGAACCGAACCCGCAACCTTTGGGCCTAGTCCAATGCTCTGCCAACTGAGCTACGTGGTCAAGTCGGTTTAGTAACATATCTTGGAATACGTTGATATCCTATATCACTTCTTCGCTCGCCGCCTCGCGCTCGACGAGCCTCTGGTCCTGGACTAGGGGTTCATTTTGATTTACGTCGGACAAAGTTACAGTTCGGTCAGACCGCAATTCACCCGAGTCGGACAAGTAACTGTAATGCACCTCAGTTCCATAACCAATATTTTTAATCTTTCATTATTATTGGGTACATTTCCTGAAGATTGGAAATGTGCCAAAGTTACTCCAATCTTTAAACAAGGTACACGGAATGAAATGAATAACTACCGCCCAATTTCTGTGATTTCAGTAATGGCTAAGGCCTTTGAACGAATAATCTATAATCAACTTTATGCATACATGTTAGAACATGATTTGCTATCCGAACACCAGTCGGGGTTTCGTTCTTTGCATTCAACGGCTACGGCTTTACTTGAGGCCACTGATAGTTGGGCTTACAATATTGACCGCGGCAATATTAATGCCGTGGTATTTCTAGACCTGAAAAAGGCTTTCGATACGGTCAACCATGAGATCTTGTTGTCTAAACTCAGAAACTATGGAATTCACGGAGTTGCCTACAAATGGTTTAAGTCATATTTGGAAGACCGTAGGCAGAAATGTTTTGTTAACGGGTCACTTTCAAAAAAGTGTAGTCTTAAGTGTGGAATTCCTCAAGGAACGATCCTAGGACCGCTCCTGTTTCTGGTATTTATTAATGATTTACCAAATTGTTTATCTAATTCTCATCCCAGAATGTATGCAGATGACACTAATCTTACATATTCTGGTAGCGATACAAACACTATTCAATTTCATCTTAACGAAGACTTGGAAAACATTAATGAATGGTTAATATCAAATAAACTTACTTTAAATATGACTAAAACTGAGTACATGTTAATTGAGTCGAGACAACGTTTAAGTACTCTTTCTGACAATCCTTCTTTTGAAATAAATGGAATTCCTTTAGATCGAGTTTCGACAACAAAATCACTTGGTGTCTTATTAGACCAAAATCTTACTTGGAGTAGTCATATCAATAAAATGACAAAACGAATTGCTTCCGGTATCGGTGCTATTAAGCGGTTGAGGTCATTTGTTTCATTGGAAACATTGCATGTTATTTACCAAGCTCTAATACAACCACATTTTGATTATTGTAATGTCGTGTGGGGAAATTGTGGGAAAACTTTATCTAACAAACTTCAAAAACTTCAAAACCGTGCAATGCGGGTGTTGACCTTTTCCAACTTTGACGCCGATGCCAATAGCTTATTGGAAAAGCTAGGGTGGGATGATCTAAACCAACAACGCCAATTTCAAAAAGCATTGATGGTTTTCAAATCTTTAAATAACCTTGCACCCGAATATCTATGTTCTAAATTTACTAATCGCAATAATGTAACTTCTTATATACTTCGAGACTCCGTGAACAAACTTGCTGCTCCTTTACCCCGCACCAATTATCTTAAAAATAGCTTTAGCTATAGTGGTGCAGTGTTATGGAACAGCTTACCTAGTAATATAAGACAAGCGGAATCTCTTACTGAATTTCGACAATTGTTGAAACATCATATTCGATAGACACGGCATTCATGGAAAACAGGTATAAATCATTAATGTAACATAGGCGTGAAAAATTTTTTAAACTTATTAATGTATAGATAACTTTTTTGTAAACCTGATGAAGCTACCGTGCTTAAATAAAGATTTGACTTGACTTGACTTGACTTGAGTTTCACTTGCGTCGGACAGAACATCCGGTGCTTTCCCCAACCTCGTACCCAGGGTTCTCTTTGTGCTGGCCACGAACAAAGAGAACCCTGGATACGAGGTTGTGGTTTCCTCTCTACGTTGCCACGTCGGACAATTTCACGAATGGGTCGGACAAATCAGTGTCCGTGACCGACCGATATTTCAGATATTAGCGAGCTTACTCAAGCGACCCTAAAACTTGACGCATTTTCCCCAAACTGATATAAACACAGTTTTTAATCCAGTTCCCCTGAGCCGACGTCCGTATCGACAAAAACGTCACTTGCTTAAGCTCCCTGTTTTAATTAAGGCCTGCACTCCCATATAGAAGAGCCAACCACGCTGGCTAGGTCTGCACGTAATGTACCGATCAATTCGAAACTTCAACATCCCCCCCGGGCATATCCCGGGAATTTGACTTCAAGTCTTCTCCAGGGAGTAGGGAATTTGACGTTCTAAGTCTTCCATGTGGTGGGGCATTTGATAAGGGTGGGAAATTTGAAAAACGTGTTTCTGCTGGGGTCTACACCGTAGGCTAGCGTGCTTCCTGCATGCACAGAAAAGACTTCGCGTTGGCGGCAAATACAATTTTCTCAGATTTCGAGGGAAACGGCCTCAATTTTGTGAAAAACTGGCTCAAAGAAACGGGCATGGAAACGCTATGTGCTTCATTTGAAGGTATGTACTACAAAATTGTGTAAAACTGTTAAATTTCCATAAGGTTTCCAAACTTTTTATTAATGGGGCATTTGAACGCTTAATTTCTTGTTACAGTGGGGCATTTGAAGACATTTTTTGCACAGGGGGTGGAGAATTTGATCAGTCAAATTTCAAAACGGTTCAAATTCCCGGGGTCGGCCCGGGGGGTCATGTTGAAGTTTCGAATTGATCGATACATAAAGTTTGTATCGCATAGTTTCGTGCTTGAATAATGTTTCTCTTTGATCTTGATCTCAATCACAAGCCTATTGTACACAAACATGAGGAATAACCACCTGGAAGTCATTAGAGTCATTAGACTGCAATGAAAATATTCAGTGTGACGTATGGCCAGGTTTTGCCTGCTCGCGGGCTGGATGTGGCGGCCAAATATCAGGGAGAGAAAAATATGGCCTATAATATTTGTGCTGTATATCAACGTAAATATTCTTATCATTTCTTCTCAAATGGATAAGAAAAGGACACACAAAAGATAATCAATCATAAAGGAAGGCATTTGACTTAAGAAGAGAAGTGGATATATACGCAGCTTGAAAAAGCGAGTGTAAAAATTCACGAGAACACGAAGCCGGATTCAACCACAGTGTGTGATTTGGAAACGATTTAATGAAACATGTCTTTTTGGAAAAATATTTTTCCTTTTAGTCTGAGTAAGACCAAGAAGAAAAAGGAATATCCGAATATTATTTTAAATGTAGACCCAAACAGTTTATGGGAAACTACAGGCGAACTAGGCGACGGAAGTTTTGGGAAAGTTTACAAGGTGTGTACAAAAATGTTTCAGATATATTTATATAATATATTTGAGGATTTAAACACGTAATTAATAATGTTTATCTACGTAGTTTTGACCCTCGAAGTATTTTAAAGCCATTTTACGACAAAATATAACTGAAATTGTAGATTCGTGATGGTTCGCATTTTGTTATAATTGGTGGCATTACAGTAAATTGTGCGTGTCGTAAATATTTTTAACAAAATTAGATCAACATTTTTAATATAATATTTAAAATTACTTGTTTTCAAGTATCAATTTCTGTAAATTTGCCTTGGTATTCAGTTTTCGTGTTGTGTTGACAAAACTAAGATGTTATCAAATTAGAAGCACTTCGTTAACGACAAGTTTTTTGTCAGCAGCTAGTCATGCAAAACAGTAACTTTAGTGATATTTCCTGTTTTGTTAGGAATGAAAACTTTTAAGCCATTTGCACCAAGAAAACTAATCTGTGTTTGCCCTTCTAACCCTAAATTGTTACTCTTGTGTAAATATGCCTAACCCACATTGAACTTTATCCTTAAACGTCTATGAAACTAACCCACATTGAAATCTTACCTCGGTTAAAAACTAACCAAGGTTATAGAGTTAACCTGGGACAAATTATGGTTAGTTTTCATGATTTAAACCTGTGCATTTTTTGAAGGATAAGGAATTTACTTTCTCTGAAAGAAAAACAAACAATAATAGCAAAGGTCATTTTATATATTTAACTTATTTATAATTTTGTGGTTTAGTGGAAGTTAGTAGATTGAATAAATAATGATAATAAGATAATATGTGAAGTAGTTCTTTTGTACAGATATGCATAATGAATGTGGTAATGCAGGCTTATCTTTGCCTGGTTAACACTGTCTACAATCAGTCTGGTGGTTTTAAGAAACTGATATGTGTCCTGTTGCCATTGATAGAAAAAACACCAATATACTATTTTGTCCAAAATGTTCTCATTGCAAAAAAATGCAGTCCTGTGCATTTGCCAATAATGAACAAAGATTTTCTATCTGCTAATTATAAAATTCTGCTTTGATCAATTCCATGCCTGCCCATCACGCCCCCGGGCCTCCCACCCCCAGCATTTGTTGAATACAGGGAAGCAGAATTTGTTCAAGGCTGAAAGTCAAATGTTGGTCACCATTAGGTCATAACCAAATAGTATGTGATGATGGCAATTAAAGGACATTGGCAGTAAAAAGTTAGTCTGTCTCATTCAAAAGAACTCTTAAAATTATATATATTAAACTCTATTACCAATTTGTCATATCTTGCTTAGTTCTTGAAGTATTTAAACCTAAATTATAATGAGCTGTCCCCCATCTTATAATGAGCTATGGAGATCCGCCATACTCTAAAATGACCGAGTAACAATCCAAAAATTTTTGAAATGTTTTTAATCATTTCTAAATTTCAGACAGCAACCAGAAACAAAGTTTTGACCCATATTGATTGCTTACTCTCAAGATAAAAAATTAGCGTGACCTCTCCCTTGACGTATTAAACATGCATATCCTCAATAATCCAAGATGGCGAACAGTCGAAATATTTTGAAAACTAAGCAAGATAATATAAACAATCTGTAATAGAGTTTAATAATAGTTTTAAGAGTTCTTTCAAATGAACTAAATTAATTTTTTATTGCCAATGTCCTTTAAGTCTAAAAGTTGTATAAAAGTTTTCACTATAAAAGTTTTCACAAGCATCTACTAAACTATAATTATTAACTTGTGGAGGT